TCTCATTAATAATTCATCAGCCCCGCAGAATTACTTGAGACCGTCTTTAACCAAATATCTTGAGTCCTAACATATCCAATGTCATTTCAACTTCTAGTTTAGGGGGGGAAGAAAAGAAAGTGGCTTCTGTGGCTGGCCTTGCTCTCAGGGGACCTTAAAGAGCTTTTCTTTCCTGTTCCTTCTTTCTTCTAAGTTCAAGATGCTTGAGAAACCTAGAATTTGGAAATACGACAGAACAGGCGGAAGAAAATCATGCCGACTGGGTGACTTTACAGACTGATGAGCACCCCGGGGGGTCAGAGAAGACCATGGCCTGTCAGAAGCCTCCTGAACACAGGAGGGCAAGTCCTGAAGAGCCGTCACGGCGTCTAAATGAGTGATTAAAGCCACGTCTGCCCCATTGGCCTCTTAGGAAGCCACGGTGAAACCAGGCCTCCCACTGACCGAATCCACGTGGCTGTACGGGGAATAGGAAACAGACCGGGGCTTCTGTCATTTTGTGGAGTGAAGTGTTCAAGTCGGGGAATAATGGAAACTTAGTAGGTCAAAACGCCAGGTCAGCCGCGGTTAGAATTCTTTCCGCCTCCTCTCTCTTTTTTCCCTTCTTTCTCTTCCTCCTCCCTTCCTTCCTCCTCACTTCTACCTTTTATCCCCGCATCCTTCCTTCCCTCCCTGCTCTCCTCCCTCGCTCCCTTCCTTTTTCCTCTCTGCCATCCATCCTTCCCCTTTTAAAGAACGCGGGTTGTGTAAGGAATAAAAGGTGATTCTCCATTGCTTCTTTCTATTGCAGCTTTTTTATTAACTCCCCCCGCCAGATCAATACTTATAAACGAAGCCAGCAGGGTCTCCTTGCTTCCTCGGAGTCAGGTAGAAGAATCTGTCTCCTTTTTGAATAGTAGGCTGCTTTTTAGCACTCGTACCTATTAGAGAAATGAGGCCCATCTTCTTTACAAACCCGCGTCTTTATACACTAAGATGTTATTGAAAGACAGAATGACTTCTTCAATCCCTCTGATGTATACAAAACTGTAGGGAGCCATTATGGATTGGGAGAAGCGAGCGGAATAAAAGAAGGTCTTTGTTCATGTGAGACTCCAGTTTCCAAATTAACCAAAATGAATCATTCTCTGTATTTGGGTGCAGCTGATTTCACTGGAGATGGGTGGTGGTTGGTGAGCCAATGGCTGCATTTCACAATTGTATTGTTTGCCGTTGTGACATCACAGCTGTTTTTCTGATTTTGTAAATCAAATCATATTCCATCAAATCCTCTTGTCAGGTTGGGGAAACAGCGCCCCCCAAAGGGCAAGGTCCCAAGACCCTGTCCCTGGAGTGTTCTGGGGGAAGTGTCGCAATCATTGTTTCAATCATTCAGTGTTTGAATCATTCAGCTATGCATCCTTCTGAAACAGCAGATTCCAAATTAATAGGTCAGGGGCGGGACCAAATATTCTGCATTGTTAAAGGCTTTCTAAGTATTTTTATATGTGATTTTGTATGTATGTGTGTGGGAGCACAGGCCGAAGCAAGCATGTGGAGGTCAGAGACTAGCCTGTGGTGGTCGGTTCTACCCTTCCACTGCGTGGGTGTCCTGGGACTAAAACTCAGCTCATCAGGCTTGGCAGCAAGCACCCATACCTGCCGAGCCATATCCCAAGCCCAATATTCTGCGTTTCCAACAAGCCCCTCATGAAGCTGTTGCTGCCGCTCACATTTTGAGTAACAGGATTTCACAATAACTTTGTTTTAAAGTCGCCGTTTTAATAATTGGGGGGGGGGATGATAATATTTTGATCATTGAATGTGGAAAGACAAAATTTGCGTTACACTCTCGGAGAAGCACACCTGGGACCTTGGGCATGCTAAGCAAGCACCCTGCCACTGAGCTATGTCCCCAGTCTGGTATCTGGCATTGTTTCTAGGTGCCTGTAATTCTATATGTCCCTTTGCAAAGGCTGGTTGATGCCTCATAGCCTGGAGGACCTGCTCTCTCTGCCGGGGCTGCTTCCCATGTGCCCCCGCTCTCCTACAGACAGCTTCAGTTCCATCTCCTGGAGGATGGAAGTGTTTCACCGTGTCCCAGCCTTAATGTGCCTGGAGCCTAGCGTAGTCCCTGGCACCTGGCCAATTAATGATTTGAATTGAATCAAGCTGAGTTGATTGACTTCATTAGAGCAATATGGAGATGACCTGGTTTTGTCTATTTAAAACTGTGTTTCCTCTTTAAGGAATTTATCCGTTTTTTTGGTTTTTTTTTTTTTTAATGTAACAAATTTTGTTGTCAGTAATTGCTGGCCCGTTTCCAGGCTTACATGCTTCTTTTAAGTCATTTGCTTAAGATGCATGAAGAATTGAACAAAATTACAGAATAAAAGTAGTAAAGACTTGGGGTGGGGTGGGGGAACCTCAAAGCCCTTTCCTTAAAAATTGCTTTTAGCTGGGCAGTGGTGGCGCACGCCTTTAATCCCAGCACTCGGGAGGCAGAGCCAGGCAGAGTTCGAGGCCAGCCTGGGCTACCAAGTGAGTTCCAGGAAAGGCGCAAAGCTGCACAGAGAAACCCTGTCTGAAAAAAAAAAATTGCTTTTATTTTTAATTATGTGTCTGTGTCTGTGTGGAGGCATGTGCAGGTGAGTACAGGTGCCCACGGATGCCAGAGGCATGGAATTTCCCTGGAGCTGGAGTTCCAGGTGGTTGTGAACCACCCAGGTAGATGCCGGCCCTTGAACCCCAGTCCTCTGCCAGATAAGTAGATGCTCCTGACCACTGAACCATCTATCCAGTCCTCTCAAAGCTCTTTAATTTCTACGAATATGAAACAAATTCTGTTTATAACAAGAGGACTTCAGCAACCATTCCTTATTTAAGAATTTTATGCTTGGGAGTTAGAGGGAGGGAAGGCTTTTCTGGGTGTTTTGACAGATTCAAGCCTGTTCCCTTCAACAATTCTGATTAGTCTCAAGTCATCAATAAAATATGCAAATCTGGAATCTCGCTTAGCATATTTGTCTCCTAGAAGGATTTGAATAAATTGCTGTATCAGTCACAGCATTGAGTGAATGAAACTCGGATACTGTTCTTCATTGTTCCCTTTCACTAGGCTGGGTTCTGCCATTACATTTTTGAAGGCTTTCTTATGTATAATTCACATACCGCTCTGCTCACGCACCAAGTCTCCAGTTGGCATTTAGTATATTCAGAGAGCTGTGTACCCGTCACTGCAATCAATTTCAGAACATTTTATCACCCCTAAAGAAAATCCTGCTCCCCTCAGCAATCACCCCCTCCAATTCTTCCATCCCCCAGCAGTAGACAGCCACTAATGTGTCTTCTGTCCCTGGATTTGTCTTTTCTTCACTTTGTATAAAAGAACTCACACAATGCATAGTTCTCTGTGACGGGCTTCTTTTATATAGCATTTTTTTTTTTTTTTTTTTTTTTTGGTTTTTCGAGACAGGGTTTCTCTGTGCAGCTTTGCACCTTTCCTGGAACTTGCTTTGTAGACCAGGTTGGCCTTGAACTCACAGAGATCCACCTGCCTCTGCCTCCCGAGTGCTGGGATTAAAGGGGTGCACTACCTCTCCCCCGCTTAGCATAATATTTTTAAAGTTCATCCATGTTGTAACATGGATTCATATTTTGTTCCTTTCTTTTTATCTTAATTTTCTTATATTGTTCCTTTCTATGACTGAATACTATTCCAGTGTATGATTTTATGACAATTTATTTATCTATCCATTGATTGGTAGATATTTACATTGTTTTGGGTTGTTGTCATGATTAAAGCTGCTGTAAATATTCAGGTGGAGTTATTTTCATTTTTCTGACATCTATACCTAGGGAAAAACTTGCTGAGCTGTGAGCATGAGCACACGTAAGCATATGTACATGTGTATATGTATATGTATGTGTGTGTGTGTGTGTGTGTGTGTGTGTGTGTGTGTGTGGTAGATGCATGTAGAAGCCACAGGAGCCATTACCATTCACTCTTCACCCAATTCCTTAGAGCCAGGGTCTCTACTGAACCCAGAGCTGGCTGGCCCTACCACGTGTTCTGTCTCCACACACTCCGTGCAAGGGCTCCAGCCACACTCTGGTTTTCAGGTGTGCTGGGGTGTGAAGTCTGGTCCTTCTGTTTGTGTGACCAAGCGTGGCTACCCACTGAGCCACCTCCCCAGGCCAGAGTCTTAGAATCACAGTGTGTTTAGCCTTTGGAGGAACTGTTCACAAAGTGACGGTAGCACTTTCCGCTCACTCCCACCAACAGTGTGTTAGGTTTCCACTTGGTCCACATCCTTCCTGGCACTTGCGGTCATCCCTCATTCTGAATATCCACCCTGATGTGTGTGAGCTACTTTCTCCTTGTCTTTATTTTATGTGTATGTGTGGTTTTGCCCTTGCGTGTGTCTGTGGACCATGTGCATGCAGTACCCAGAGAGGCCAGAAGAGGGCATCTGATCCCCTGGGACTGGAGTTAACTAACAGTTGTGTGTGCTCTGAATCAAACCCTGATCCTTTGCAAGAGCAACAGGTGCTCACAACTACTGAGTCATCAATGACCAGCCTCCTCTAGTTCTCCTTTTCTCTGTTTCCCCGATAACCAATGATCTCCGTCTTTTCATAAGCTCACCCACCATTTCTTGATCATCGTCTCTGGTCTCTGTTCAGAGACGCTGCCTTTCTCTCCTACTTTGACAATATGAGTTATTGAATTGCAGGGGGTTCTTTATATATTCTAGACTCACATTTATAAACGTTTTTCTCATTCTGGTTTGTCCTTTCAATTTTTTTAAATGTGTCTTTTAAATCAGAAAGGCGTAAATTTTGATGGAATCCAAATTAATTTTTCTGTGGTTGCTCATGGGCTTTTGATGTCATCTCCAAGAAACCTGTGTCTAATCCAGCGTCATGATCTTCTGAGTCTTATGCTCACAGGTCACACATGTGGGTCTTTAATCAGTTTTGAATTAACGTTTCTATCTGCGCTCTTGTCTGTTCTCAAGTGCTGTGACCTTGGCTACCATGCAAGTCTGAACAGAGCCCTCAGAACGTATCTCTCCGCCGAGTACAACCTTGAAACCTCCAGACATGAAGGCTTAGACATTATTGAAAATGCTGTTGACAACTTAGAGCCAAGGAGTGACAAGCAGAGATTCATGGAGATGTACCCTGCAGCGTTCTGTCCACCCATGAAGTTCGAGTTCCAGTCTCACATGGGTGACGAGGTCAGTGACTGATTTCCTTTTTTTTTTTTTAAGAGTCAGCTGTTTCTTCATATGTTATTTATTATATCATATATTCTTCTTTTGAGTCAGCGTCTCAAACAGGCCAGGATGGCCTCAGACTCACTCTGTAGCCTTGGCTAATCCTGATCTCCTGACCCTCCATCTCCCGACTCTTGAGGCTGTAATGTAAAAGTGACCACACTTGGCTGCCTTGAATGCTTTTTAAGATTTAGTGGTGTGTGTGTGTGTGTGTGTGTGTGTGTGTGTGTGTGTGTGTGTGTGTGTAATGTGCACCTGAGGGCGATGCCCACAGAGGTGAGAAGAGGGTATCAGATCCCCTAAAGCTGAAGTTATAGGTAGATGTGGGTGCTGGGAACTGAACATGGATCCTCTGCTAGAGTGGTGAATGATCTTAGTCACTGAGCCATCTCTTCAGCCCCTGCCATGTATTCTTTATATGAACTTAAGTTTCTATCCTGTTTTATCAGAAAGAAATAAAAAAGAAAGGGAGGGAGAGAAGGAAGGAGGGAGGGGGAAAAAAAGAAAATCATTTTAACTGATCACGAATTATTGCAACATATGTTATATAGAAACAGAGGAAACCAGAGGGAAAATATAGAGCATGTTATCAGTGATAGATGGGTAGATAGATAAGTAGACAGATTGTTTGAGTATATATTAATAATTAATACATCATAGATATATGGATAGGTAGATAGATATAGATAGGTATAAATATGTCTATACCTACTATGTTTCTAATCAGTTTTATTTTTATTTAGTAAATTACTTAATCAGAAATGATGAGCTCAGATCAAGCATCCTTCATCCCCAAATACGAAAGAGATGGTACAAATCTGCTCCAACATTTCAGGTTTCAGAACATTGGGCATTTAGGATTTTCAGATTAGGGACACTCAACCGGTAAAGGCTATGTTAATAGCTCCGAGTCCACAGACCTCTGAAATCTGAAGCATTTCCAATAGGTGCAGTTCTTATACCAACTTGAAATTTTCATTTGTTTTTAAGACAGTGACTCGCGCCGGGCGGTGGTGGCGCACGCCTTTAATCCCAGCACTCGGGAGGCAGAGCCAGGCGGATCGCTGTGAGTTCGAGGCCAGCCTGGGCTACCAAGTGAGCTCCAGGAAAGGCGCAAAGCTACGCAGAGAAACCCTGTCTCGAAAAACCAAAAAAAAAAAAAAAAAAAGACAGTGACTCGCCTTGAACTCTCCACCCTCCTGCCTCAGCCTCCCAAGTGCGGAGATTACAGGTCCATGCCAACACACCCAGTATCACACATACATGCCAATGAGCTGAACGTTTATCCTACCCATCATCTTTCCAAAATCAAATAGTTGCTGTTTCCCTTTTCCATTGTGGTCTGCTAAACGCAATGGTAAAAGTCACAGACATGCATGCCATCAGTCGGATGGTAAGAGTTTCCTTACTGATCTATTAATGGGGTGGGTCTCTTCCCTTCCTTACGGCCTGTCTCTGCTAGGGAACAGTAGCCTCTAATGTTTGGCTGCCCCGTGAGAAGGAACCTTCATCAGCCAGGACCATTTCTGTGGCAAGGAGGATAAAAAGAAAGTGCTTGTTTCATGTGCCATTTTAATGATGCTTTCATTTTGCCCAAATCTGTCATTGAAATCTTGCCCAAAATATCTTCTTCCAGTACCTAATTTGCCTTATGAAGTCTGTCGTGAGTCATGTGGTCTAACTGATACTGGCTAGCAGCCATGATTGAAAGATGGCTTTGGAAAAAAAAATAATAAGGCACTTTTTTGAATGGTCTCTGTCTGTATACATTGTATCATTTCATTCTCACAGCAGTGCCAGGATTAGGGAGTCCTAATGTCCTCTGTCCCCTCCTTACAGAGCAGGAAACTGAAATCGTAAAGCCTGCCACGGGTAGAAGGCAGAGCTCACTAGCAGAAACATCTGCCTGGCTGCAGGGACCACACCCTAGCTGGCAAGCCCTGTAACACCCACCACTCCTTTCCTAATGCCCGGACAGTCTACTTGGGCCATCCTTTACCCGCTGCTCAGGGCTCATTAGGATTCCAAAAGTAAGGCGGCAGCAGCAGCAGATCTCAGTCTCAGGCCCTGCTGCTCACGGAGCAAAGCTTCCTGCCGCCGCCGCCGCCGCCGCCGCCGCCGCCGTTCCCTTCCCTGAGAGCTCTAAGCCAGAGCTGTGTTTTGTGCTCACTGCTTATGTCCAAGTCTCTTTAAAAGTGGAACTTTAAGGTGGCTGTTAAAAGTGAAGACGTAGCCAGGCATGGTGGCATATGCCTGTCTCAGCACCTGAGAAGGAGAAATAGGATTCTAAAAAGAACCTTTCTAAATGGAACAGTTGGAATCAAGAGAGTTGACGTGACTCCTGTATGTGGCATTTAAGTATGAGATTTATGGGCTCAATGGACAAAGGTCTGCAGGCCCCAGATAAAGAGTCAGGCCTCGCCGGGCAGTGGTGGCGCACGCCTTTAATCCCAGCACTTGGGAGGCAGAGCCAGGCGGATCTCTGTGAGTTCGAGGCCAGCCTGGGCTACCAAGTGAGCTCCAGGAAAGGCGCAAAGCTACACAGAGAAACCCTGTCTCGGAAAACCAAAAAAAAAAGAGTCAGGCCTCATGGACCTGTCACCCCATGGCCAAGGGTGAGAACAGGGTGGGTAGACAAAGACACATAGGTCCCAGGGGCTTCCCAGCCAGCCCCTCAGTCTAGCTGACATGGTAAACTCTAGGTTCCGTGAGAAACCATCTCAACACACTCTGGAAAGCAATAGATTAAACACCCCCAAGTTGACTGGTGGCCTCTCCAGGTGCACACAAACAGGCGAGCACATGCACGCATAGACACACATTCACATCCAAAACCGATAAATAATCCTCATGCTTCTGAGGCTGGTGGTGGTGCCTGTCATAACTGCACTTTCTGCCTCTGCATCAGGTGTGTCAGGTCAGCGCCCAGCAGCCGGTCCAGGCAGAGCTCATGCTCAGGAACCAACAGCTGCAGTCCCGACTGGCCACACTCAAGATCGAGAACGAGGAGGTAAGTGTGCTCCCTGGGAGGAGGTAAGGGTGCTCCCTGGGAAGAGGTGAGAGTGCTCCCTGGGAGGAGGTGAGGGTGCTCCCTGAGAGAAGGTGAGGTGAGAGTGCTCCCTGGGAGGAGGTGAGGGTGCTCCCTGAGAGAAAGTGAGGTGAGAGTGCTCCCTGGGAGGAGGTGAGAGTGCCCCCTGGGAGGAGGTGAGAGTGCTCCCTGAGAGGAAGTGAGGGTGCCCTTGGGAGGAGGTGAGGGTGTCCCCTGGGAGGAGGTGAGGGTGCTCCCTAGGAGGAGGTGAACATGCTCCCTGACCCACTGGGATCTGAACTCACACCTAAGCTGGAAGACATTCTCACATGGTCTCAGCATCATTGTCCTTCTGAAGGCCATCTCCTTCAAGTGCTTTTCACTATCAGGGTTCCTCCAAGACTCTCCACAGAGGATAAATGCAAAGGTCCTGCATGCCTCTGTAAATGAACACTTTACCAGGGTTGACTTCGTGTACGTATAAACGTAGTTTGTCTTCTTAAACGATAGCTCATATTGAAAACAGCTCCTTGAATTACCTAATTCATCGCATATGTCCAAAAATACAGTCATATGTAGAATACAAGTTAATTTGATCTTATCTTCTAAAATGAGAAATTCCCCCCTCGCCCCCTGCTTATGCTTTTCCATAGTTTCTAAATTTTTGGTAACTGAAAGTGGGCATTGGTTATAAAATGAATGCAAAAAAATTCGTATTTGAAATAGTACTTGAAGTGGGATAGAAAAATGATTATTTGTGGACATACTTAAAAATATAGACTATAAAGTGTGAATTATCAATATGTAGTGAATCTGGAAAACAGTTGCACAGTTCAGATGCTTGTTTTGGCCACCAACTGTATCAGACTCACGCTCTCCTGATATAAAAATAGGAAGCACAGATGGTTTTCCATTATTCAAGACTCGCAAAGGTGATTTATAGGAACCCAGAATTGGTTCTGTATTTGCAACGGCCTCTGATGTTACTGGGTTTGTGACATATGGGTATTGGTAGGGTTTAGGTATGGTTCCAGAACTCCGTGGTTCTACTGCTTGCCATCACATCCCATGCCAGCATCCTTATCCAACACAGAAGATTATCTCTTCAATGGCTGGGCTGAAGTCTGAACCAACCATTACATCCAGGAAATGGAAATCTCTAGTTGGCCAGACTTGATGCGGTCCTGTGATTGACAGCCCCGATAGAGGTTATATAGAAACAGATAACTTCCAGAGTGTAGAATGTGAAATAATAAAAAGAACAGACTCAGACCAGCAAAGCAGATCCCTGGGGCAAGGGATGTAATTCACTGGCGGAGTGTTTTGCTTGCACATCCATCTCCAGTGCCAGACGGATGATGTGTGGTGACTGGACACTATACTCCCAGCACTCAGGAGATGGAGGCGGGATAGAGGTAAGAGGATCAGAAGGTCAAGGTCATCCTGGGGCTACATAGTGAGTTTGAGGCCAGCCCTGTGTAAAAAAAAAAAAAAAAAAAAAAAAAAAAAAAAAAAAAAAAAAAAAAAAAAAAAA